CTTACACACTCAAGCCCTCTGATGCATAGCAAGTGATGAAGACCATGGTCTGAATTACACGAACCTTAGTCTTCAAACTGATATCATAGCTCTTCAGCTTTTTGGAGAGATTCTTGACAACAGACTTATCCAATGCAGTACGTCTTCTGATATGACTATTGGCAGGAAGGGTGTTGACTGTTGATCCAAAAAGGATAAAAAGGATAAAATCACTGACGACTTCCATTTTTTCTCCATCTACCATAATACTGTTGGTTCAGTGGTGAGAATCTATGCCTTCTTGATGTTGAGATGCAATCCATACTGAAGGCTGTAGTCCTTGAACTTCTGCAGTAAGCGTTTCATATCCTCCTCACTTTCAGCACACAAAGCTTTGTCACCTGCATAACTAAGATAGGCTGCTGATGAATCTTCCTCCAATTCTGATGTTATATTCTTCTTCACAGAGTTTGGCTTTGTGAATTATTTGCTCAGCATACAGACTGAATAGGTATGGAGAAAGGATACAACCCTGACACATCTTTCCTGATTTTAAGCTATGCAATGTTTCCTTGTTTTGTTCAGACAAAAGCTTCTTGGTCTAGGTATAGATTTCTTATAAGCCCAATTAGATATTCTGGGATTCCCATTCTTCTCAATGTTAGCCATAATTTGCTATGAGTCACACAGTCAAATGCCTTTCCATAGCCAATAAAACAAACAAACAAACAAAAACCCCACAAAAACTTTCCAGTATTCTCTGCTTCAGCAAGGCTCCATTTGACATCATGATGATATCATTTGGCAATGATATGTCTGGTGCCACAGCCTCTTCTAAAGCCAGCTTAAACTTCTAGTAGTTCTCTGTCAATGTACTATTCTAGCTGTTTTTGAATGATCTTCAATAATATTTTGCTTGCATGAGATATTCATTACATTGTTTGATCATTTCCACATTCTGTGGGATCATCTTTCTTGGGAACGAAGAAAAAATGGTATTTGGAAAGTATGGATTTGGTGACAGAAATGAGGCCAGAGATAAAAAATGATCAAGTTTTGTGCACTTAAGGACTTACTCACTGCGAAGAGCTTTTGTAAAAAACACAAATGACAACTTTACACATGGACTTCACCTGATCGATTGTATAGGAATCAGAATGGCTACATTTGTGGGAAGAAAGTGCTATATCTGCAGTCAAAACTAGAGCAGGTGCCGACTGTAGAATAGACCATCAATTACTCATATGCAAGTTTAAACTGAAGTTGAAGAAAATGAAAACGAGTCTGTATGAACCACAGAGTGTGATGATTAATACTGTGTGCCAATACGACCATGATCTTCTTTATAATGTAACAATCCTATCTGTTGTAAACTCCAACTTCTTTTCAAATACTTCTATGCATCTGAAAATTGGACAATGAAATGTGGTGTTGTAGAATACTTAATGTCTCATGAACTATCCAAGAACAAGTCTCTCTTGGAAGAAGTACAACTAGGATAATCCTTAGAGGCAAAGGAGGTGAAATTCTTTCTTACACATTTTGGGTATGTTGTCAGGAGAGAGAAACACAGTGAGATGGAGGAATGAAACACCATGTATACAAACAAAACACAATGTATATGACTATTGTATGTAAACCAATATAAAATAAGAAAATACAAAAGATTGCTAAGAGCTGTAGTCAACTTGATGGCACCTAACAGCAACAACATGATGCTAATGAGGCAAGATCAGATGTGGTTCTGTAAAGATATAATCTATTGTATCTGCTTAAGGGGAGGTCTCCTCAGGGGTGCAGCCTGCATGGTATGTATTCTTGAGCTCTGGCAAAAAGCTAGAGAGCTTTTTAAAGAACCAGAGACCTATTATATCTGCTGACTTTGAACTCCCTAGTTTCCAAAGTCAACTATTTGTGACTCTGCTCTTCAGTGACAATCTTTCGATGAGCCAGGCACTGAAACCAGTGGGCTCCAAAACCAGTCAACTGTAACCCTCCTCCTCAACAATGACTTTGAAATTGCCAGCTGCAAAAGCTAGCTGTCTCCAAAACCAGCAGTCTAAGACCCTGCCTGCCTGCTGACAACTTGAACTCAGCTGCCCAGAAGCCTGTGTCTTGAGGTCTGACCTAGAGATTTGGGACTTGCCAGCCTCTACAAGAACATCAGCCATTTCTTCGAAAGAAATCTCTCTTTGGCTAAGCTACACTGGTTTTGCTTCTCTAAAGAACTCAGTCTAAGACTGAGAAATACTAAGTCATCTTGATAGACCAATCACGAAAAAAAATTACTGATTTTAGAATACCACAGAAAGAAATGTAGAGTTTAGAAATAACGAAAATGATAAATTCATTTAAATAATAAGAAAAAATCCCCCCAAATCATCAAGTGAAAATCAACTCATGGCTGACCCTCCACTGGGTTCCTGAGGCTGTAAATGGCACAGGTGGGAAAGACCATCTTTCTTTCAGGAAGCAGGTGGTGGATTTAAACCACCAGAGGTGTGATCTTTGGGTTAGCAGAGCAACTCCCTATGGCTTAATTCACCAGAGCTACCTAAACACAAATAATATTAAAAAATTAAATACTTTTAAAAGTATATGAACTTGCATACACAATTTAACCACAATTATGTAAAATTATTTTTAAAAATGGAAAAAATATTGCCACTGAGTTAATTCTGACTCATGAAGATTCCATGTGTTAAAGAATACATAAATAAAATGGCACATTCTTCCTTTTATTTAGTAAGCAAGTACTATTTTTGAAAAATAGAAAAAAAATAACAAACAACAAAACTGTGCTGTCAGCTTGCCCTAAAAATATTGTCTTTAAAATTAATGGGGTTTTTGAATTTTTTTATATTTATCTAGTTCTAAAAAGGATTCAAGACACCTTACCAAAAGAAAAAAAACCAAAACACCAACTTGTCCCAAAATGATGATATGAAACAACAAACCCATTAAAAGGAAGACAAAATAATAGGTAGCATGTAATGAATAAGGTATAGAATATAATGCCAAAAATTCTAGGCTGGCAAAAGTACCACAAAAATGTCATATCTAAACTAGAGAAAGAGATGAATCCATACATCTCTAATTCTGCTAAAGAACGTAGTAAGCCTTACTCTTGTTTAGGCTCAGGTTCTGTGAATAGTTCATGTTAATAAAGAGAAATAAAAAAGCACACTGTCCATATGATCAGACAGCTCATAGGATCACACCTGTTAATTACATGGTTATTCTTTATATTGAAAGTTCCTCAAAGCCGAGAACACAATGTTAAGAAGCTTTGTGAAGACATTTCTACAGAAAGCTAATGTAACTTAGTCCACTTTCACAATGTTCTGGGGATCTAAGGTCAACTGAAAGTCAAGAGGCATAAAGGACACGACGACTATTGTCCCTTCGAATGTCAATTGTTTCTGTCTGGTTATCAACAAGAACTGCTTAGCGATTAATCAAAATTAAGTTAGCCAAAGTTTAGAAAATATTCTAGAAAAGAACACAGAAAATCTTTACAACCTTGTTGCACATAAGGCTTTCTTAGGACAGAGACTATATTAATGACACAAGAGACAGGAGTTTATCAAAACTTTTAAAAAGGCAACCACAGATAAGAACAAGTATTATTTGACAAAAGCCTTTTTCTTTTACAAAATACATAAAGACTAACAAGCCAAACAACCAAATTAAAAGTACAGAGAAGATTTGTGTAGTAAGTCTTAACACATGCACACAAAAGACAATTAAATGTACATAACAGCAATAGTCATCAGGGAAATAGTGCTGTGGGACAGACCAAAAGGCCCAAACCTAAAAATAGTGACAATAGTGAACACTGGACAGCAGGTAACATTTGGAACATCTTTAGATTCCTGTTGGGAATACAGGATGCTAGAAGCACTTTGGAATCTGACACTTTTCTTAAAATACTAAATATACATCAATTCACTGACTTAGCTATTCTATTAAGAGCTATGGAAATATATAGTGATAAAAACTTGTATACAAGAATGTTCATAGAAATTTAATCAGAACGGTGGAAAACTGCTCCGGTGTCCATTAAAAAAGGCATTTCCACATTGTGGTACATTCACGCAATGTCACAGAATGCTAAGTATTTAAAAGTATAAATAAATATATACTCACTGATGTACACAACATGGCTAAATATTCTAAAACATTAAGCCAGACCCCAAAAATTCCATATGAGTGAACTGACATAAAGTTTTGAAATTGCTGCTGTTAGGTGCCATCCAATCAGCTTACTGACCCTGTGAACAACAGAACGAAATACTGGCCAATCCTGCGCCACTCTCACAACCTCTGTTGTGCCACTTCCAGTCACTGTGCTAATCCACTGAGCTGGGATTCTACTTATTGTAAAAGAAATCTGATCAATGGTGGCTTTGGTAAAAGTTGGGGTGTAGGGACTGATTTACTAGTAAGAGGCAAAAAGGAACTTTTTTGTGGCAAAAATGTTGTCTTTTAAGAGGCTTAACCAGTGTACACATTTGTCAAAATTGATTAAACAACTTTTTTAGATCTGATCATTGCACTGTATGTAAATTATCCCTTGACTAAAAACATATTGACTAAAACTATAGATTTATATGCCAGGGCATAAGAAAATGTAGCCTTCTTCATGTACACATGTCTCACTTCATGAGACAGAAAGGTTGCTTCATGCTTCAACTCAATTTAATTATTTTAAAAGATTTGTACTTTTATGCTTAGTGATGAATTTGTAAAAACTTCAAACCTGACTGGACTGCAGGTAAGCTTTGTAATTAGGCCACAACATGTGGTCATAGCATTACTGTTATAGTTAGGCATTTAAATCTAAAAATAGATGATAGATTAAATTATGAATATATATATCAAAATATCTAATATCTAAAGTTAGGAAAAATGGAAAAGATATTTCGAGGAAAAAAAGTTTCTATATTTAAAGAGTAGCAATCACTGTCCATAATCAAAGGATAGTAATACATTCTGCATAGAAAGAACTACAAACTTACTTGACTACTGGAGGTAACTTATCAAGTCTAGTTTCTGGGCTCCAAGCTATGCCATCCACTCTGATTCCATGGTGAAATTTTCGTAGTGCTTTATACTGAATCCCTTCAACAGCTGCTTCTTCCTCCTAAGCATATATAGTAAAAGCTTTAGTGAATTGTATGACTATTATAATAACCTATGTATATAACTGTAGTGAAAAATTTAGCAAAAAGTCATATTATTGGTTTTGATAAGTTCAAATACAAATTAGATATTTGATTCACGGATACATAAAACCACCAACACTACCAAAACTAAGTTTCACAAAATGTTAAATATAACTCAAATAAAACAAGCAGTATGCTATTTTTATCTTAATTAGCAATATTTTATCCCTCAAAATACTATTAGTGGTAAGGAGTTAGGCTGCCAACCCAAAGGCAGGCAATTCAAGACCACCAGCTGCTCTGCAGGAAAAAGACAAGCAACTGCCTCTCATACTATTTACAGCATCTGAAAACCTGCTGGCGGGTCAGCTATGAGTCTGTTCCTACTCAACAGCACTTAACTACAAACATATATGACACGGAGATCCGGTGGTCTGGTGATAAGGAGTTCATTGCCAAGCAAATTGCACGGGGTTTGAATCTACCAGTTGCTCTATGGGAGAAAGATAGGCAATCTCCTCCTATGCAATTCACAGGCTCTGAAAACCTGTTGAAGCACTGGATATGAACTGGTTTTAACTCAATGTCCCATGACAACAATACAAGCATAAGATGTTGCAAATAGGTCATTTGTACTATTCTATTGGTACAATTTCGAAATACTGAATATGCACATAATAATCTGCTTGGTCTTTAGAATTTTTGCTTCCGGGTAAAAAGGTTTAATAAATAATAGGTTTGTTGTTGTTGATTGTTGTTGAATTGAGCACGACTCACAGCAACCATATGAGCAGAAGACCTGAAGCCTTTCTATAACTAACGTCATTTCTCAAAGTTCATAGTTTACAGAGGTATGTTGTTGTTGTTGTTATGTGCCGTCGAGTCGCCTGCGACTCATAGCGACCCTATGTACAACAGCCCTAAACTCCGCTCTGTCCTGTGCC